CAACAGAAGGCATCCGTTAACAACGGGTGATCCTGAAGTACGACTTTTTTGACACCTGACGAACGACCTGCCTGCCGTGCCGACGAACTTACGACCCTGATTCCAAAGGATTACCTGCTCATCAAGCATTTACGGAATCACTTACGAAACCTGTACATCTTTCCTCAATCATGGCGGCTTTGTTTACAATCTATACGAGCTTCGAAACAGTTCAAATCTGTTTATAACAATAATACAGCCCGTCCTCCAAAAGAAGGACCCAAAAGTAATTCCATGCACCCGTCAAACCCCCTGTTTATGAATGAAAAACGGTAATCACGACTCACAACTGATTTCGTTGGAACACTTCCGGAACAAGTGCTTCGCTGACGAATTTTGTTCGAAGCACAACGCTATAAATGCTTCACCCACGTACTACAAATACAAATAATCGCCAACAGAACCTAAACACCTAACCTAGCCTATGCCTATATATGCACAATATGTTAATATATCATAATATTAATTTATCTTTGAGAACATTCCTGTTTTGAATGAACAACTTGTTAAAATTTAGGTATGCGTTTGTGGGGTCGACCGCTGGATGTAATGGACTTGAGTCGAGGACGGGTTGCAATAATAACCCTGGGTTATGAAGTTTAGAGGCTCTTAAACTACTAAATAAATGTAAACAATGCTGCAATGATTAAGAAAAGATGTACAGATTTCGCAAGTGGTTGCGTAAATGAATGATGACTCTAGATAATAGATTCTAGAATCTAGGGTCATGTTAAAAGCATGGTATTGATAATTTTGTAAACAAGACGGTTGGAATTTGTGGTGAAATAAAACCTTCTTTACTATAATTTAACCTTATCAAACTTAATTTAACTTGACCAATTTAACCTTACCTAGCCTTTACCCATCCTAGCATAACCTAATCCATCCTCACCTAACTGTACGTTTATAGAAGTTAAATAAATAGAAAACGAGCTATTTGCATAACGGCTATGTGTCATTTCACTCCATCAACGAAGATTCGCAACCCTACACACACACACACACACACACCCTTCCCCTTACCCCTTCCAACCTCTACTTTCCTCCCCCCCCATCATCTTCCCTTTCCCCCCTCCCCCTTCCATTACCTCCCTTCTCGTTGGGACTTTGTGAATCTTCATCGGAAAACTAAGCCAAATATCGATTGTCTCTCGACCCAAAATATTTGTCTTATCTCGAAGGTTTCAAGACGTCCATTGTTCCTCGTGGTAGTTTATTCTCTCTCGTCACTCTGACACAAGAATGAGGTGTGGCAGATGGGGTTTTGTGGAGGGGTGGGGGGGGGGGGGGTTGAGAGGCTTTTTTTGGCTGTAAATTATTGTGTGTATACACTCTCCTATTTGTGCTTACAGAATCGAGCTGTTAGCTTTTGGTTGCTGTGTATTTTTTTAACCGTCTATGATTTACCCTTCTGATTTTTTGACTATGTTCTTCATTCATATATTTATCTCTGTCTATTAATCTCGTGGGACTCGTAATCCTGTGGCCCGGGCTCGATTCCCGGCGCCGGCGAGGAACAATGGGTAGAGTTTCTTTCACCCTGATGCCCCTGTTACCTAGCAGTAGAGAGGTACCTGAGAGTTAGATAGCTGTTATGGACTGTTTCCTGTGTGTGTGTGTGTGTGTGTGTGTGTGTGTGTGTGTGTGTGTGTGTGTGTGTGTGTGTGTGTGTGTGTGTGTGTGTGTGTGTGAAAAATTTAGTTAGTAGTAGTTAGTAACAGTTGATAGATTAATAGATGAGAGGCGGGCCGAAAGAGCAGAGCTCAACCCCCGCAAGCCCACTAGGTGAATACACACACACACACACACACACACACACACACACACACACACACACACACACACACACACACACACACACACACACACACACACACACACAAATTCTCCAAAATATGTTCTGTTACTCTGGCGCCCAGGGACACAGATCATTAAGTATCTCTGAATTTAAGAAAATATCAAGGGAATAAAATGGGATTGAACTCGCGTCTCTTGTCCCCCTCCTCATGAAACACACTGTCAGCGTTATAGGGATTTCACCGTGTATCCGTGTCATTGTAAAGCACATACAAGCCCTATTTCTTCGTAAGTAAATTGGTTAAAAAATATTCGTGTGTTTGTTCGTAGTGATAGGCCTAGTGACAGGCAGGATGAGTGGGCCATTTCTTTGTTCTACTTTTTATGTATCGGTGATGATCACGTCATTAATGTAGTCTTGTTTACATTCAATTACTGTCTATCTGTTATCTCCGTTGTGGAGCCCGTGTAGAGTTGTGTTACTGTTTGTAGTGTTTGGTTCATGTAGAGTTTACCTGGTGTATTGTTTGGTCCACGTAGAGTTCCTTTTTTATTGTTTGGTCCATGTAAAGTTACTGTTTGCATTGTTTGGTCTAAGTAGAGTTTACCTGTTGTATTGTTTGATCCATGTAGAGTTACTGCTTGCATTGTTTGGTCCATGTAGAGTTACTTTTTGTATTGTTTGATTTATGTAGAATTACTTTTTGCATTGTTTGGTCCATGTAGAGTTACTTTTTGCATTGTTTGGTCTATGTAGAGTTACTTTTTGTATTGTTTGATTCATGTAGAATTACTTTTTGCATTGTTTGGTCCATGTAGAGTTACTGCTTGCATTGTTTGGTCCATGTAGAGTTACTTTTTGTATTGTTTGATTCATGTAAAATTACTTTTTGCATTGTTTGGTCCATGTAGAGTTCCTTTTTTATTGTTTGGTCTATGTAGAGTTACTTTTTGTATTGTTTGATTCATGTAAAATTACTTTTTGCATTGTTTGGTCTATGTAGAGTTGCCTGTTGCATTGTTTGGTTCATGTAGCGTTACTGTTTGCATTGTTTGGTGATGAACCGCTGTTAAAGGCACTTTAGTTTAACGTTTTTCTTTTTTTTTCATAACTTTTTTTAGCTTACTTTTGAAACTCAAAATCTATTAATTGATTTAGAGTAAATTTTATATTGTTCACTTCAAAAATTAAATGCTTTTTTGTTAATGTTTGAAACCATAAAGGTAACCATTTGCTTTAGAAAGTTAATTTTTTATTTTTTTTCATATGCAATTTTGAATTTAATCCTTTTCTTATTAAACAAATTATACAATTAGAATACATTTACAATTAAAATTGTTGGTTCTGGTACTTTGGACTGAAATCTTTTTCTTCAGGAACCCAGAACTTAATAACTTTTATTCATTCTCAGACACGTGTTGTAGATGAAAAATAAATATGAAAGTCATTATGCAAGAGACCTAGTTTACAAGAAGGACAAAACAGCCTTATTTATTAACACATCAGTCTGAAAGGCGATAAAAAAAGTATATTCAAAAGTATATAAAATGGTTTTAAAAAATTTCCCCCCTATCGCTACACTAATAACATGCAAAGTGACATTATGCTTTTTTTTATCAGTGCTGGTGTTTCTAGCTGCTCTCCCCCCCCCCCCCTAAACCCCCCTATATCACCCCCTACCACATCCCCCTCCCTCATAACCCCCCCCCCCCCACCCCTTCCTCCTCTAAACAAAAAATGAAACAAATGGTAAACTATACGTTAAATCTTTCCATGATTCTCAAAGTGCAGAAGTAGGCAATATTTGGAAGCGTTGCCGCCTCCTGCATACTGCCTTTGGCCCCGTGTTGCACTAACAACGTGTCAAAGGACTCAAACAGAATACTGGATGGTGAACATTAGTGGTGGTGGTGGAGGTGAGAGCGGGAGAGGAGTAGGTAATGATGGTGATGGTTGGCAGGGGAAGGGGGGGGGTGTAGGGAGGGGTGGTGGTGGAGGGGGGGGAGAGGGTGTAAATGATGGGAACCGAGGTGTTGATGGGGTGTGAGAGAGGAGAAGGGGTGGTGGTGGTGTTAGAAAGAGGTTATTGACGGTAAGAGAGAGAGAGAGAGAGAGAGAGAGAGAGAGAGAGAGAGAGAGAGAGAGAGAGAGAGAGAGAGAGAGAGAGAGAGAGAGAGAGAGAGAGTGAGAGAGAGAGGAGGAAGAGAGAGAGAGATAGAGGTTCAACCCCACCCACCCCAAAAAACGAGGAAAAGCCAAAGAAAACCTTACCCAACTTCACGATCCAGATCTACACAATCCCCCTCTTTACCTATATTCCTCCCCCCCTCCCCCTTCAACCACTTGGGCTGGACGGTAGAGCGACGGTCTCGCTTCATGCAGGTAGGCGTTCAACCCCCGACCGTCCAAGTGGTTGGACACTATTTCTTCTCCCCGTCCCATCCCAAATCCTTATTCTGACCCCCTCCAAGTGCTATATAGTCGTCATGGCTTGGTGCTTTCTCCCTGATAGTTCCCTTCTCTTCCCCCCTTCCCCCCTCTCCCCTCCCCCAACTTCACCTATCCCTTCCGCCTTCATCCTTTCCGGTCCCGTGGGTGCGGAAGGGATGCGCAGGCGCATGTGCCCCGAGATGACGGTATCATCTGGACGTTCGCCTCGATGGAGCGGCTGATAGGAGAAGAGGCAAATTTACCCTGACCGGAATACTCTGCAGCTCGGAGAGGTCATGATGGCTGAAGCTGAAGATGGCCGCTGGTTGGGGGTAGGTCTTGTCCAGGTGGTGACGGACTTGCCCAGGTGGTCAGGGACTTGTCCAGGTGATCATGGACTTGTCCAGGTGGTGGGGGACTTGTCCAGGTGGTGAGGGACTTGTCCAGGTGGTGAGGGTCTTGTCCAGGTGGTCATGGACTTGTCCCAGGTGGTGGGGGACTTGTCCAGGTGGTGAGGGACTTGTCCAGGTGGTGACGGACTTGTCCAGGTGGTGACGGCCTTGTCCAGGTGGTGAAAGACTTGTCCCAGGTGGTCAGGGCCTTGTCCAGGTGGTGAGGGACTTGTCCAGGTGGTGAGGGACTTGTCCAGGTGGTCAGGGACTTGTCCAGGTGGTCAGGGACTTGTCCAGGTGGTGAAGGACTTGTCCAGGTGGTGAGGGTCTTGTCCAGGTGATCATGGACTTGTCCCAGGTGGTGGGGGACTTGTCCAGGTGGTGAGGGACTTGTCCAGGTGGTGAGGGACTTGTCCAGGTGGTGACGGCCTTGTCCAGGTGGTCAGGGACTTGTCCAGGTGGTCAGGGACTTGTCCAGGTGGTGAAGGACTTGTCCAGGTGGTGAGGGTCTTGTCCAGGTGGTCATGGACTTGTCCCAGGTGGTGGGGGACTTGTCCAGGTGGTGAGGGACTTGTCCAGGTGGTGAGGGTCTTGTCCAGGTGGTGAGGGTCTTGTGCAGGTGGTGAGGGACTTGTCCAGGTGGTGAGGGACTTGTCCAGGTGGTGAGGGACTTGTCCAGGTGGTGACGGACTTGTCCAGGTGGTGAGGGACTTGTCCAGGTGGTGAGGGACTTGTCCAGGTGGTGACGGACTTGTCCAGGTGGTGACGGACTTGTCCAGGTGGTGACGGACTTGTCCAGGTGGTGACGGACTTGTCCAGGTGGTGAGGGACTTGTCCAGGTGGTGAGGGACTTGTCCAGGTGGTGATGGACTTGTCCAGGGGGTGAGGGACTTGTCCAGGTGGTGAGGGACTTGTCCAAGTGGTGATGGACTTGTCCAGGTGGTGAGGGACTTGTCCAGGTGGTGTGGGACTTGTCCAGGTGGCGTGGGACTTATGCAGGTGGTCGTAATTAGTACAACGAAATGTTTTAACTACTACGCTAAAGTTGTACACAGGAAATAGGTAAATATTGGTTTAGATAATAATAGGTAAATATTGGTTTAGATAATAATAGGTAAATATTGGTTTAGATAATAATAGGTAAATATTGGTTTAGATAATAATAGGTAAATATTGGCCTACTGGTGTTGTAGGCCCTTCATGGGCCAGTAGGCCTACTGTTGTGTTGCTGCTTCACAAGAACCAGTAGGCCTATTGCAGTGTTGTTTATTTTGATGCTTTTGGTTAATACAGTCATTGTAATTATTGGTATTATTGTTTTTATTACAATAGTCATTAGAAAATATATGGTAATACCTCCATCTGTGTCTTATGTCTGTGTGTCTGTGTGTGTGTCTGTGTGTCTGTCTGTATGTCTGTGTCTGCCTCTCTCTCTCTCTCTCTCTCTCTCTCTCTCTCTCTCTCTCTCTCTCTCTCTCTCTCTCTCTCTCTCTCTCTGTCTCTCTCTCTCTCTCTCTCTCTCTGTCTCTCTCTCTCTCTGTGTCTCTCTCTCTCTGTCTCTCTCTCTCTGTCTCTCTCTCTCTCTCTCTCTCTCTCTCTCTCTCTCTCTCTCTCTCTCTCTCTCTCTCTCTGTCTCTGTCTCTGTCTCTCTCTCTCTCTCTCTCTCTCTCTCTCTCTCTCTCTCTCTCTCTCTCTCTCTCTCTCTCTCTCTCTCTCTCTCTCTCTCTCTCTCTCTCTCTCTCTCTCTCTCTCTCTCTCTCTCTCTCTCTCTCTCTCTCTCTCTCTCTCTCTCTCTCTCTCTCTCTGTCTCTCTCTCTCTGTCTCTCTCTCTCTGTCTCTCTGTCTCTCTCTCTCTCTCTCTCTCTCTGTCTCTCTCTCTCTGTCTCTGTCTCTCTCTCTCTCTCTTTCCTTTCGTGGGTCGTTACACATCTCTCTTAACGAAACACTGACGTGGGGCTTCAGGGGAAACTGTCTCATACCGGCACTAATGTTTGCTCTCATCTCCAGACAGTTCTAAGCATAAATAAACGACATGTGTAAGGAAACTTAAAAGCTTTATGCTGATTGGCCCTCGGCTATTCCGTGTGAGGAGTGAGGTGGCGTTCGGTCGCTTGGGATATTGGCCAATTAGAATGTCCGCCGAGAGACCAGAAGGAATTATGAGGCTTTTCATTTGCTATTCGCTTGTCAATAAACGAGCCTCTTGGCGCGTCCTTTGCTCACATCACACCACTCGTTGCATTGAACATCTCACTCTGAATTTGCAAGAAGCTGTAGCAATCTCGAGTTGAAATTTCTAACCGAATCTGTCAAGTTATTCAGTTGCATCATAAGAGCGGAATTAAATCCAGACAGTGTCACTAGAGGTGGTCTGACTGGCGTGCACTTAATCCAGACGAGGTGAGAATAAGCACCTTCAAGCATTTAGTAACTCAGAAGGTTCAAAAGAGGCCTCTACGCCACAGCTGACTCAGGCAAGGGCGGAGCCTGAGGTGAAAGACTGTTCAATATTTGTTGGAAGTTGGATCACTTTCGATGTTCAAGAGAACGAATATTTCATTAAGGTGTGATAATTGTGCGGAAAAGCACTGAGAAAGTGCAACTAAGTAGATCTATGAAGACAGGAAGCAGGTCTATGAAGTGGGGTGTAAGGGAACGGTGTTTAATCACCTGGATTACAGGAAATTGAACGAAGAACCCACAAGAAACGAAGCTATTCTTAGACCGATTAGTATAAGCGAATTATCTAATACTACACTAACAATCACACCCATATGTACACACACATACCCTTTCTCTCATACTCACACAGGGGAGACATGATAACCACCTACAAAATACTCAAGGAAATTGACTGGGTGGACAAAGACAAACACTTTAGCAATGGGTGGAACACGAACAGGGAGGGGACACAGGTGGAAACTTAGTACCCAAATAAGCCACAGAGACATTATGCTTCTTTCAGTGTCAGAGTAGTTAACAAATGGAATGCATTAAGCAGTGATGTAGTGAAGGCTGACTCCTTACACAGTTTCAAATGTAGATTTGATAGAGCCCAGTAGGCTCAAGAATCTGTACACCAGTTGATTGACAGCTGAGAGGCGAGACCAAAGAGCCAAAGCTCAACCCCGCTATCACAACTAGGTGAGTATATACTCACACACACACACACACACACACACACACACACACACACACACATACACACACACACACACACACACACACACACACACACACACACACACACACACACACACACACACACACAAATACATATATATATATATATATATATATGGTACACTTGTATAAACTCACAAGTCATAAGTAAACACATAGGACCCCAGCCCTGTGAAAGGATTCGAACCTAAGAAGGCCAGGTGTCCTTAGCTCTCCCCTGGAGTGCCACTTGAGCCTGTTCACGAGGAAAAACTTCAACAACTTTCGAATCATCGAATCATCAGGTACATATTAATAATTCAATATTTTCACAAATCAAAGTCAAGCATAGGAATATTTTCCATGCTGTCCTTCCATACATGATATCAATACACTTAAAATTTGATACTCCAGAAAGGCGAAAGTGCGGTGCTAAGGAATAAAACCCTAGTTATAAACAGTGCAAAGGACGGAAGTCTTAGATAAGCATTGTGTTATAGACGAAAGTCTAAGACAAGCACGGTGGTAAGGAGGAAAGTCTGAGATCAGGAGAAAGTAAATAAAAGGTTATTATCAGGAGAAAGGTAATTTAATTATCAACCAGAAAGTAAAATAGGGAAATTATCAGAAGAAAGATATGGTAATGTAATTACCTAGAGAAAGGTAAGGTAAGGGAATTATCAGGAGAAAGCATTAAGAAACTATAGCTATATTGCGAAGAAGATAAAGTCAAAGTGCAGGATAATTTGCATTATTTGTAATCTCATCTTCATGTGTCGTGCCGAGCCCAAATGTTCCTCCCGCCCAAGACGCCAGGAGAAATAACTAAGAACGTATTCGCATTAAAAATTGTAATCTAGATTATGACACCACGTAATCTATTATGATCTACTGAGTCTGTGCGCAGCGATTCTGTACCTTGTTTTACTGCCTACCTCACAACTGATGACTCTGTTCACCCTAGTTGTTAATAGATAGCCTGGAGTGCGTTCTGGGAAGTCTTCTACTGTTTCTGAAACCCGAGTTCTGGTCAGGTTTGACATGTGGACTTGTGAAGGTTTGGTCCAAGAAGATTAGAGCGGCCCGCAGACCAATATATTCACTACAACACAGTTAGTCAGGCAATTCTAAACAATTCTTGTCTTAGAGGACTTGACAAGTCCTCTTTGGCTCCGGAAATAGGTCGTACGCTTATTATAATAACATATACACTGGCTGCCTGTCCCTCGACAAAATGAATTAGCAAATTTGCTAAAAAATAAGAAAATAAATACGTGAACGGTTCAGAAATGAACAACTGAGAACTGAGGATTCTATTTATTTATTCGGGAATAAAGAACAGTTGAACATTTCAAGAACTCCGGGTTATCTTGAGATCTTGAGATCTTGAGGTTATCTTGAGATCGAACCCGGAACCTCAGAACTACGAATCCGAAGAGCTGTCCACCCAGCTGTCAGGCGTCTAGGTAAGGACAATTACTTGAGTGGCAAATAAAAAAAAAATCTAAACCTCAAAGGCATTCTAGTCCCTCATTTCTAAAATTGTTTATCTTCAGCCCAGTAGAATATGTTCATTTAGAGCTCTTAGATCTAGAAACAAGTCAGGCTCTTGCTGGAAAACTTCATGCATATATATATATATATATATATATATATATATATATATATATATATATATATATATATATATATATATATATATATATATATATATATATATATATATATAGGGGGGTACCACCACTGGTGCAATTATAGGGACCCACAGCCTCAGAGAAGGGAACACAGAGCACTCAGGGAAAAACTTGACATTTAACTCTGAATACGAAAGAGTGTTCACTTCTCCTACCACCCCCTTTTATATATATATATATATATATATATATATATATATATATATATATATATATATATATATATATATATATATATATATATATATATAAAGTGCAACTATATATTCGTTGAAGTATTTCGAATATTCCCTTCACATTTTGTGTGTAGCTGAGTTACCTCGTCACTCCCAGTCCTCTTCTTCCTCCTGATGTGTCGGTCGTACAGCCTCACTACCTGCCGGATTCACAGACCAGTGACCAGATTCACGAAGCAGTTACGCAAGCACTAACGAACCTGTATGTCTTTTCTCAATCTTTGGCGGCTTTGTTTACAATTATTTAACAGTTAATGAGCTGCGAAGCACCAGGAGGCTGTTTATAACAATAACAACAGTTGATTGGCAAGTTTTCATGCTTGTAAACTGTTTAATAAATGTAATCAAAGCCGTCAAAGATTGAGGAAAGATGTACACGTTCGTAAGTACTTGCGTAACTCCTTCGTGACTCTGGCCCCTTGTATCCAACAGACAGGGGGGCATATAGAGCTATAGAACTTAATTAATTACCCCTGGTCATTGCTAGGTAAGCACTGTTAGATAAGCACAAGGTGCTCAGAGCTCCACCGGGGCTCAGAGCTCCACCGATGCTCAAAGTTTAGGTAGCTTAAGTTCTGGGATGACCACTAACACCCGTTACAGATGCCTGGCTCCCCACGTTCCACCCTCCGCAAAAGTTCGCCTGATAAAGAAAACGGCGTCCGGTGTTAATGTGGGAGGGGGGAGGGAGGGGAATATGGAGGATCTTGGGGGGGGGGGGGAACATGGTGGACCCCCAGGGGGGGGGGGGGGGGGAATACCAAACACCATAAAACACAGAAAAAAATTGCTGCGTGTGTTGGAGAAACTACGAGTACAGGTACTAGAAGCACTGATACCAGACACTATGGGCACTGATCCCAGACGCTATCAGCACTGATACCAGTCACTATGCGTA